GCCACAGCCGGGGACACTTTGAACTTCGCTTTTTCGATGCGTTTTTTTTGCATATTAGGATTTTTTCACTATTTTTGTGTGAATCTACATACATCTTTGTACAAAATTAAGCAATTCAAATTTTTTCAGGCAGTTATCGTTATGGGAGACGAAAAAGAGGGTGTTCCTGTGGGCTTGCTTCGTGCCGTCGACCAGACTGTCGAAATCAAGCAAGTTGGACATACTCGAAGTCTGAATGTGCACGTTACAGCTGCACTGATGATTGCAAAGTTTGCTGAGCAAGTTAGATTTGCGAAAAATTGAAAAAATTATGTTTTTGTTGATAATTTTTATTTAATTGTTGTTGTTTTTCAGACAAATAAAGTTGAAAGGGGTTTTGTTGGAATTTTTTTTTGTTTGGTGCTTCTTATTCCTGTCTTTGAATATCTATTTTTCAGTGTATGTGAGAAAAAATTGTTGTATTTAAAAAAGCGCCAAAAAGAGACGCCGCGAATTCCGGGGAAAAGCGGGCGGAGTCAAGAAAAACCGTGCGGCAAAACTGTGCCAGGGTTGCAATTTAGGCTCCGCCCCCTCATAACCGTGTCCAAATGTGCAAAAAAAAACGGTGCGGCAAAACTGTGCCAGGGTTGCATTTTAGGCTCCGTCCCCGACTCCGCCCACTTTTTCCCCGATTTTTTTCCCGTTTTTTTCCCCGGAATTCGCTGGGTCTCGCCAAAAATTTCGCTGGCCAGCAACGACGCTCTATTGAGAATAATTGAAAATCTTTTTTTTCGGGCCCGCTTCACTGGTCCCTGAACAAAAACATGTCATCCGAAGTGCTTCGCGGTATTGATCCTCGTGGTTACTTTTCCACGTTCTTCAGAGAAGGCGTTTTTCCCGATGGTCGTGGTCTTCTGGATGAGCAAAAGCTCGTTTTCAAGGTTGGTCTCACAATTTTTATCTTTTTTTCAAATTGCAACCTGAATTTCTCGAAAACTGAGTTTATCAGCTCGCATTTTATGAACATTGTGTTTCTCGTGTCTGTTTTACCCTAAAAACACCAAATTGCGAGTTGATTTGAAAAATTCAAGTTTGAAAGTTCGAAAAACTTTCGCGACCTCAAAAACGCAAAATTTACAAAAACCTCACATGTTTCTGCTAATTAAAGCTGTAATAACTTTCAGCAAGGCGAATGTGGAGGCGTCGGCTCATCTGTCGTAAGCACCCAATGCGTGACGGTTTCATGCTCAATAGAAGCGTCGGTGTCGCTGGTCAGCGATGCGCCACTTGTGGATATTAAAATTGAACCGTCTCAACAACTTCCAGAGGTATTTTTCTGATTTATTGAAAATTTTCATTTTTTTTTCGCTTACAGAAAGATGCCGAAGAGTACAATAGCCTTCTTCTATCGTTATTCACGATTGGTAACTTTGTAAAACGGGAAAACTTGCGATGCTTGGACATTTGTGACAAAACGCTACCTCTCGAGTGGCAACTCCATATTACTATCAAAGTGTTGAGTCTTGAAGGAAGCTTGTTGGATGCTGTTGTGGTATGAAAAATAAAAAAATTACTGTAAAACCTGTAATAGAAGGGCCTCCTAACTCGTCAACTTTAAGCCAATTCATCTCGGTTCCTTTCAATGATATAAACAAGTCGTCAGCTGATAAATTAGTTGACACATTTTTGATATCCTGCATAGGAACCGAGATAATTGAGCTTTACGATAACTGAAATCCTTCACGATTTTCTCATTTCAGTGTGCCATCGGAGCGGCTCTAGCCGACACCAAACTCCCTTCAATTGCATTGGATCATGCGGACACTGATGAATCTGTTATTGAAAAAAATCAAATTCGAGCGGACTATCGGACAATGCATAAGCTCACCCTCGAAGAGCCCCTCATGTGCTGCTCGTTTGGAATTTTTGTGGATAATGAATCGAAACAAAGCAAGGAATTGCTTCTTCTAGCTCCCAACTTTGAAGCTATATCCGTCTGCCGAGCTACATGCTCCGTAATTGTTGGCAAAGATAACATGGTGGCCGTTCGTGAAAGAGGACGACTGGCAAACTTTTCCCTTCTCAAGGTAGTTTTTTAAAGTTTTATAGAACACATTTTCATTTTCAGAAAATGTGTCAAATCACTGCCGAGCGACGACAAAAGTTCGTTGAGACACTGCGATCTACTTAATCAATCGATGTTTTTCTGTTTTGAAGACGTTGTTGTTATTTATGAATTGTTGATTTTGATGTGTTTGATGATTCTGATTGAAATCGTTGATGTACATTTATAATGATACTTCTTGTTCTAGCTAGAATTCTAGCACTCTGTTTGAAAAATCAATAATTACCGGTTCAGATCAAAATGCGTTTCTTCGGCAGTCACAACAGGAATAGTGAGTTTTTTTCCCTGTTTTTCATACTTGTAAAATTCCGGGCCGGGCCTGAGGAAAATTTCAAGGCCCGGTAGGCCCGGTAGCAAAAAATTTGGTCATTTTGAACCGAATTTTGAGCTCTCAATACAAATTTCTATATTTTTTTTTGTGCTTTTTAAATTGTTTGTCTGTTTGACCAAAAAATATCAAAAAACTCGAAAAAATTTTTTATCGAAAAAAATCACATAAGGGTCCCCCCTTATGTGTTTTTTGAAAATTTCAAAACTTGTGGAATGACAGGCCCGCCGGGCCGGGCCGGGCCTCCGAAATTTGGGAAAAAGCCCGGCCCGGCCCGTTACAAATATGCTGTTTTTTGTTTCTAAAATCGATAATTTTTTCAGAGGGACTCTTCTCGGAAGGCAGAGACATCATGTCTTACCAGCAAGCAAAAGACGAGGAACAGAAGCGGAGAAGAGAAGCGAATCTCGAGGTTGATACAGATACTCACGTTGATTTGTGGCTTCTCTGTCATCCGGATAACGATGTGGCAATCGGTGTGCCTTGGAAAGAAGGGTTTTATAATAATTGTGACATATTTGTAGCTCTATTCAACACAATGCTTCGTTTGACAGAACAGCTCGACTTGGACGTCAGTCATGATGATGTGGTCGCCTGGTTGGCTACAGCGATTCGATGCCATCCTTCTAATCTAGTACCACGTGGAGAAGCTGTTACGATTCGCGACAAGTAAGAGCTCGTAACGATACCGTAATCACTCTAATAGAACGCCACCCACGCCATCAACTTTAGGCTCGTACATCTTGCTTACTGGCGAAGGTATCAAAAATAGGTCAACTGAGAAAATTTTTATCATAATATCAACAACATTTTATCAATTCACCACTTTTTGATATCTTTCATAGAAACCGAGATATATGAGCTCAAAGTGACGGTTTTTGTGACGATGTATTAGAGTGTTTACGGTATTCTACTTCTAGGTTCCCGTTTCCAGACCTACATTGCCAGCAGACCCACGTGGAGGTGACTGGAACTCTGGAGTTGGTATCACACAAGTTTGTCTTCTGATGCAGTATCTCGGAAAGTGTTCTCTGAATAAGCTGACTCTTGATGAGAGGGCTAATGTGCTTTTCGGTAAATAACATTTTATACATCTCAAACATTTTGTCTACTCAGCTGTCCTTCGCATTTTCGGGGATTCTGATGAAGTTGCTGATTCACCACATGCTCAACATTTTGTTCGTCATCTCTATACAGTAGATGCTACCCAAAGAACTGAACTCATTGATGCCCTCGCTTCGATCTTCTTCCAGCTCTCCAGTAAGTGAATCAGATGTACTTGTATAGCTAATCTCTTTTTTTTCCGCTCCAGACGACGTAGCTACTATGGCGGACGCTGTTCGGACGATGTGGAAAATAACGGAAGACGAACCTCTTGTGATGAGACTGACTGTTGAGATTCTGATGTGTCTGTGTCAGAGGTCAGAAGTTGTCAACAACCTTCCAGATTTTAAGGTAAGGATTACAACGGTTATACCGTTACGGTATTAACCTATTTATGTCTTTCAGATGGGAGACCAAATGTACTGTAAACAAGTCAAGATGATCATTCTGGACTTGACGTCCGACGCTCACGAGCAAGTTCCAGAATTGCATCAAAAAGATGAGCTGAGCAACTTGGTCAACGAGGTCTTCAATTTGAAGAGATCCACATGATAAACCTGATTCCCTATTTACTTATTCTCACCACCCGGTTTTCTTTCTTTCATCATTTTTCGTGTGCTATATTTTTGAACGGTATCTTTTCTTTCTTCCCGCTCATCATCATCCCCCATGACTATTTGGCTTTCGTTTGAATTTTGAAATCATTCTCAGCTATCCGTGTATGAATTCTTGTAATATTGTATATGAGAAAATAGTCAAATTTAGTGGGATTTTCGGGACCAAATTTAGGGTCTCCTCAAAGATGATTTGCTAGAGTCTCTCACTAGAGAACTCATTTGGTAAAATTTGTTTAGGTATTATTCTTGTGCAAAAAAATTGGGGGTTGTGGCCGAATTTTCACACAAGTTAGGCCTCCGTATATCAAAGAGAATTTTCGAAAA